TCAGTCCCAGGCATGGGCCACTTCCTCTTTTTCAGCGGGCTGTGGTCTCGGTCTCGGCAGAGTCCTTGCAGGGGGCTTGGCACCCACTCAGCCATGGCTAATGAGATTTCAGGGTGCTTTTCTAATATCAGGAAAGGATTCTGGGGGGCGCCCCTTGCAGCCTTAGTCATGGGTTGCTGCAGGGCCTGGTCACAGGGGACTGTGGCTGCCTCAGGCCATCCGCAGTGATAGCTATTTAAGAGGTTTTCCTTTCACATCTGAGCAGCCAAATTGTGCATGTAACAATGGGGAGCAATTATTGCACAATAGAGCATCCCCCTGAAACAGAGTGTGTTTAATAATATGCACCCTAGTGATGCTCTCTCTAAACAACCAGAGCACTTTCATGTAGGACTGAGTGTAGGGAATGACATTCTCAAATTTCCTGGGCAGCCTGAGTGGCCATCTCCAGGCCCTTGCCCATCATCAGAGCAGTGGCCTCCAGAGAAAGAAGTGAATAACAGTAGTATGCTGCAGTTCAAGATTGGGGAGTGTGGCTCTGTGGCTGAACACAAGCCTAACTGGTGGAGGACCTGGGTTCTCTTCAGCCCTGCAAAAATTTGAATGTTGTTGTTGATAGACTGGCATAGATTAATTTTCTGGAAGTATCATTTACAAACCCTTTTCTCTGGAAGTAGAGTATTTTGGGGTTTTATTTTAGCTCCAGTTGGAACAAATCCCAATCCCATGATGAACAGTGTGAAATAGTTCTTAAAATCCAGGCTTTCAATATCTGACTTGCCCAGCGACTCTGAAGTTAGCCCGCATCATGATTGAGAATCCTCATTATGCTCCCAGCTTTGAATATCTGCAGACTTATTTTCCAACAGGGATTGTCAGGAAAAGAATCCCTGTTCCACACGGGATGACAGTGGGAAGAGGGAGGCCCCAAGAGGCTAAAGAGGGTGATCCAAGATCATAAAATGAGAGATCTGAATGGTCAGTGGAGAACTAACTGAACATTTAATTTCCAATGATTAAAAGGCAATGAGAGTAGAAGCAGCAAAAATCCCACAGGCAGTCTTGTGAAAAGGCATTGCTCTTAGGGGGAAAACGATGCCTTGAGCATTGGCATTTTTCTGTAAGAGCAGGTGGAGTCTTCAGATTTAAAATCATTCAGCTCCTCCTGGTTTGCCCCCGGCCGTCCTGATTTTTATCCTTCAGCACATGGAAAAGTTCAGGAACCCTTGTGTCTGAGGCAAACTGGGACAGGTGGTCACACTAAATTTTGCCTGAAGGAGAAGAAAAAGTTAACAAGCAAGCATAGATATTCAGTTAAATGTCCCCCTTCCCCCCCCCCCCTCCGTCCCCAATAATCTCCCCATGCTCTGTGGTTTTCTTTTAAAAGGGACACTTAAGTTTGAGGGAGAAAGGGATGGCTGCTTCAGGAGAAAAATCAAGACTGAGTTTGCATGCCTCTTGCTCCTTCTGAAATTCTCTGCTTAGCCTTTCTCCCACACTAGGGAAATGGTGGGAAGGTGGAGGGAGACAGATGGCGAAATTTTGTTCAAACATCCTTCTTCTCTGGTACTGAAATTCTGAGTTAAGTTTCCTGTAGCCCACATGTCCTCTAGGGGCTCTGGTGTTGGGGGATGGCATTGGGGGTACCGACAGGGACATGCACAAAAGTTATCCGCACAAGTGTTCCTGCCTTAGCTAGCCACACACTGTCTCTATGACATGTCTTTGGATTTATTTTTATTATTTATTTGTTTGGGGGAGTTTGAGTCACACATGACTATGTTCACGGATCACTCCTGGTGGTACTCAGGGGACCTTACGTGGTGCTGGGGATTGAATGGAGTCAACCCACATGCGACCAAGTGCCTTAACCCCTGTACATTCTCTTTGACCCTTATTATATGGCTCCTTGTCTTCTGTTTGCTTTTTTAAAAAATGAGGGGAGAAACTAAGGGCCATGCTCAGGTATGTATACTCAGGGCTTACTCCTGGCTCTGTGCTCAGGGATCACTTTTGGCCAGGCTTGGGATCTGGCCCACACTGGGTTCATGCAAGGTAGGTTTCTTACCCACTGTACCATCTATCTTTACCGTCCTTCGTGCTTTATTTTTAAATTGTAGTCCTTGTGATTTGGGCTGGAATGATAGCACTGTGGTAGGGCATTTGCCCTGTGTGCGACTGGCCCGGCTGAGCCCTGTTCCATTTCTCCACCCTTCTCAGAGAGCTCGGCATGCTACCGAGAGTATCTCGCCCACATGGCAAAGCCTGGCAACCTACCTATGATGTATTCAATATGCCAAAACACAGTAACAACAAGTCTCTCAATGGAGACATTACTGGCCTCACTCGAGCAAAACAATGGGGGGGGGGGGAACAGTGCTACAGTGCAGTGCTACAGTCCCTGTGATTTATAATTTTATAGTATTGTCAATGATAAGATTTTATGCATACAGCATTCCAACACCACACCCCCCACCAAGAGTGTCTGTTTCCTTCCATCATTGTTTCTGGGTCCCCCCTCAATCCCTACTGCTCCTCAGTAACCCTTTACCTCCTGGCCCCCACCTCTCACTACATCTTAATAATATGCTCAGTTCTGGAGCCCTGAGCTCAGTTCTGTAGATCCAGTTTCTGATTATGTTGCTCTTTTGTTACTCCCCTGCTCTGCATCTTTATATCAGCACAGGAGAGGCTCTCTCTCCTGTCCCTGGGCTCATAGATTTCCCAACAGAGCTGCCTTCCCCTGAGCCTAGCATGTAGTTCCTCTGTCCTTCCTGCTGTCTATGGGCAGCTAGGGTGGGTCCATATTTGGAGCCTTTAGGCACTGCTCTGTAAACAAAGGGGTACACACATCCTTTTAAATTAGTGTTCTTCTCTCTTCCTTTAAAGAAAGAAAAACTCCTCTTTGGCACGCAGGATATAGAATCCTAAGTTGTGGACCAGATATGATCTAAGTGCCAAAAATCTCCTTGAAGGACATTGTTGTCCAACAGAAACATAGGGAGTCAGATTTAAAAATTTTTCTAGGGGCTGGTAAGATAGAGGACCAGATGTCCAGGCCCTTGCCTAACACTTGGCTGGCTCTGGTCCCATCTCCAGCACTGACTATGGTCACCTCATCATTGCCAGGAGTGATCCCTGAGCACAGCTGGATGTGATCCCACAAATAAATAAACTAACTTTTTAGTCATCCTCAAAAAACTCTTAAAATTTTAATAATGTGTTTTATTTAAGCTAGCACATCCTAAATATGTTCATTGCTATAGATAGCCAATATAAAATGTATTAAACAAACAAACAAACAAACTATCCTCCCGTTGTTCATCAATTTGCTCTAGCGGGCCCAGTAATGTCTCCATTTTGAGACTTGTTACTGTGTTTGGCATATCGAATATGTCATGGATAGCTTGCCAGGCTTTGCCACGTGGGCAAGATACTCTCGGTAGCTTGCTGGGCTCTCCAAGAGGGGCGGAGGTATTAATAATTTGAATTTTTCTTGATATGGAGTCTTGAAATTCAGACTAGCTCTATTTCCAGAGCTCAACAGTCCATTTGGACAAGCCTGTGCCTGGAGCATCTTTATAAAGTAAAGTAACTCCAGAAATGTTCAGCTTCTCTCCTCTGGTCTATGAACCCATCAAAAGTCCAGAAAAAAAAAAACCTCAATATGGGAAGATGGCTTAATACTCATGTGGAATGTGGAATGCCCTTTATTTGCGTGGAAGAGGAAGCTGAGGCCCAGAAAGGCTAAGCAGTTTGTCCAAGGTCACTTAGCTCGCGTGATTCTAGAGCCTTGGTTTCAGAGCCCTTTGCTGGCCTTCTGTGGCTGCTATTGTGAGATTTACCCTGTGAAGTCCTGGGGGTCATGCCTGGTGGAGGTCTGGTGTGGCTGCTTCTCCAAGGGAGATATGTTCTCCTAGGCATGGTGGTGAGTACAGGAGAGGAGTGTCAGAAAGGCAGCTGTCTGTGAAGTGGGAAACCTGACCCTGACTCAACTAGGAAGGGGCACAGACACATAAGCGTCTGTGTGTGCGTGCACAAGTGTCTGTCCACACATTTTCCCCAGCACCAGGCCTGGGCTTCTGTGCTCTGGCTTGAACCTAAGCAGCCGTCTTGGTGAAAAGAAAGATCTGGGGCTTGAGGCCACTGAATGCGGCTTGCGACCCTCTCTGCTCTGCTGGGAAGTGCTGGGGTGCACATCTTAATTGTGTGATCAGAAAGGAAAGGGATAAGAGAGCTGTGGTATCTAGTGTTCAGCACATCTCCCTGGCCTCTCCTGGGCCCTGTCTTATCATTGGGGTCTGTGTGTATTTCTCTTGGATCTAACTCCAGGTGCCTTCTTGAAGCAGGAAATGAAGAATTCCTGCAAGGTCTGCTGAAGAATTTTCTGAATCAGAAAATCCCCAGCATCTGCAGCTTGGGACAACATCCCTTTGAATACATTGTTTCCGAGTCAAGTGTATAAATATTCTGGCTCAAGACACTACCCCTTTTTCTTAATGAATTGGCCTGGCAGTAGTTAAAGCCAAGTGTGGTCTGGGCGAGTGCTCCGGGGGAGAGCACTGAATACCCAGCCGAGGTCGCCTGGGATGGCCACTACTGGTCGTGCCTCTTACAAGATTAAAAATTCGCTCTAGGCCCCAGGACGTGCATATAAGTAGGTCAGTTGGGAAGAACTTGGGCTTCTTTTCTTCTTCTCCCTGACCCTCCCTCTGGAGTCAATCTTGAAGAAACACAGCGGCCAAGGGCCTGCTCCATTTCTTGCTTTACTCCTCTCCCTGCCAATTTCTGCACCCCTGAGTATAAAAGAGGGGGACATTTTTTTCATGGGCTGCTTTTAAAGAGGTCTGCTAATCAATTTTTCATATTCTTTTATGCCCTCTGCTTTTTACACTGCCCCCACCAGCTGGTTAATCATGCAAAAGCTGAGCACTTCATTAGCCAGTACACGCTTGCCCAGGGGCATTTCGCTAGTAAATTAGTTCTTTCTATTTATACAGGTAAGGCCTGGCCGAAGTTGTGTGAAGTGCCAAAGGTAAGGGTTGGGATTAATTTCTTCTTTAAAATTTATTCTTTTAAAAGAACTTGTTTTAAAAATTCCGAGCTCTAGTAATGCTCATTTACTTTTGAATTTAAGAGAAAAATGGAAGGGAGACATTTTTCTGGAAGGTCTAGTTACAGTCTTTAATGAGAAAAGTTAATATGACGTTTGGCGTAAGCTTTGCTCCCAGAAAGCAGGGGCATAGGTGCCTATCCTGAGTATATATTTTTTAAACAAGGCCTGCAAAATTCTTATAAAGAGGCTCTTGCCACTGGAAACTCTAGAGAGGAAAAAAGCATCATCCATAAATCCTACGTAGCTCCACAAGGTTTCTTGTCATTCTGGACTAATTTAAAGATATAAAATACCTGTCACCAGTTTTATTTTGTCGGAGGCAGGGAAAATCACTAGATTGAATTGGACTAGCATGAACGGTGGCCTCTGGAAACGTGCTTTCCCATACGACTTCCCGTTCGGCCTAGATGGTTCTCCATCTAGGAGAAATTTCACTCAGGGTTGGCAATGGAAAAAGCGACCAAGGGATGAAGCTCACGCAGCTCTGCACGCCCCAGACCCAAGGGCTGCAGGACCGTGCGGCTGCTCCTGCGGGCTCGCTCACGCTTTCTGGTTTCTGTAGAACTTCTCCAGCCCCGGGGTCTCTTTGCCTGAGCTGGATGTTTCCAGCTCTTCCAGAATTTTCTGTGGAGGGGTCATGGAACGCTGACCTCCCGGATGGCCAGGCCTGTGCTGTTGGGGCAGGCAGGGGGTGGGATCCGCCAATGCAGCGCAGGGGAAGCTGTGAGCGGCAGCGCGCATGTACCATTGGGGTGCTCCTGCGACACGTTCTAGAAAAGGGGGCTTTCCTGGTGGGTGATTGTGGGCTTGGAGTGTCAGGACTTGGGAAGCGTTAAGGAAAGGATCCCAGTCCTGCTCCGCACCTGTTCTGCATGCTCCCTGCCTTTATTCCACCCTGTTTATATTCCTGGGATGGGTTGCCGCTCTCCCCACAGCCCGGCTCTGCTAGACACTGGCTGCGGGCTGATGGTGCAGTGGGGGTGGCTGTCTGCACAGAGGCCTGAGAGTGAGACCCCCTCCACGTGCTGCGGGGGTCCATGGTCACAGTGGCTGGCAGCCCTGCACTGTGGCTTCTCCTAGAGCTGAAGCCCTGAATCGTGGCTAGCCCACAAGCCAGGGTGGCTCATGCCCAAGCACAGCCTCCAGGGTCTCAGATGTAGCTTGGTTTCTGATGACCCCGAGTCCCCTCTGGCAGTCAACCTGGGTGGAATTAGGGTGGAGGGATGCACAGCTCCCATAACTTGTGGCTCAGGAGACAGGGAACAATCCACTTGTGGATTCTTTTCAGCAGACTGGGAGGTGGGGGTCTCAGTTAGGGTTGGCCAGGAAAGAACCCACTTTTCTGGCAGCACATTACTGTATGGAATGTGTTTGGCTTAACCAATACCCGGAACATCCCCTAGGCTGCCCGAGTGTGGTGTGAGGTTTGCAGGCTGCAAAGTTAATGCAGTTAATAATCAACTGAACCTTGCAGAGTCACTAAAAAGGCTCCACATGAATAGCACCAAGTGAGTGGCACTGGATCTACTGTGATAAACTGGACACCAACTCAGCCCCACTGGAGGCAGAGTAGCCTTGTAGGGATCCACTGGGTGATGCCCTGGCTCGGTTCCCTTAGAAAGGGAGTTTCCGGTTGGCATGTGAGTGGGAGACAGCCCTCAGGATGGCATTCACTGTTCCAAGTCACGTTCTTGAGGATTTTTTGCTATAGGTCCTGAAACAGGAAAGACCCTCACTTTGGTGATGTTCCCAACTCTACTTGATTCTTTGGGGGAAGTGAGACCTGTCCTAGCAGAAGTGGGAGTTCAGGCACTGAACTCAGGGGGAAGGTTTAAGTATAGGCACAGCAGACCCAGCATCTCCCTGCTGTCTTCCTACCGGTTCCTGGTGGTTCTTGGCTGTCTGTGCCCTCTCTCTAGGGTTCCTTTCCTGCACAACTGGCTCCCAAAGTGGGTGATATCACTCCTGAGGTGATGGTCCTCAGGGGCGGTGCTAGCCTCCATTGCAAGGAGGAAGCTTTTAAGAAGGTAGTTTTCCAAGAAGTGCTGAGTGATTCTTTTTCTCCTTTCCTGAAAAGGGTAGCTTTGTCAGCGAGGAAACCACTGGTGTACTTTGCAGTGACATTCATGTGCATCTGATTCCTGCCATAAACGAGAGATTAGCCTTAGCAGCTATTCTCAAGACACAAGGGTTTGTGTCAGGCCTAGTGTGGCCTTGGGGTTGAAGAGGTGCTCTGATTAAATTTTTTCATCTGTTGCTTTTCTGCATGATTGTGGGCAAAGATGGAGGAAGTCAGCTTTGACTGAACTGATCTGGTGGTGTTCTCTGCCTTTCACTTTTGTTTTATTTTCAAATGTCTCTTCACCACAGCTCACAGTGAAATGCTGGTTTAGAAGAGGTACTGACTTGACATCTTAGAATATCAATGGACTTATTTCTTCCAGCTCATCTTTGTTGCCTGTCACAGGCCACAGAGTCCCAGAGGTCCAGGATTGGGTTACCCCAAGCAAACAGAGCCCCCGGCACTGCTGAAAGTCTTGGAAAGCCCTGTGACTTGGTCACAAAGCCCAATGATCAGCAGACATACCTGTCAAGGCACCACGCAGGCATTGGTGGTGGGGGAGGGGGGCGAGTTCCATGCCCTATTAAGCCCACCCAGTTGGTGCTGATGTTGCTGGCTGCCTTCCAGACAGCTGGGAAGGACTCAATATTGCCATAAAGAGCAATAGGCAATGAGAGAAATGGACGGAGGTAAATGTGGGAAGTCTTCATTTTCTTCTCCTCGCCTCCAAGTGCTTGTGGACAGGCCTACTGTGCGGGATCGTGCTGGGAAGTGATTCGTTTCTAATCCAGAGCTCCGAATGGCCCTAAACCAGTCATTGATGAGGGCTGGGATACAGCAGCCCCATCCACCCTCCTATTTGGGGGGTTTGATTTGGCAGGATCTGAGCCAGCATGCAAACTAGCCATCAGAACAAAATTTAGGACAGCCGGGATGCTTTGCGGCAAAGACTTTTTGGCTCCGCTGTTCCAATAATCACAATAGCAGCTCAATTTAGCCTTTGGCTGAATGGCTTTGGCAGGGCACAATGAAAAATAATTATTTCATGGCCTGCTTATTTTCCCCCTAACCAATAAACTCACAGACCTCTTCCAGCTTATGTAAATACTCGGCCTTGCAGGAGGCCGAGTTCATCTCCCCATTTAGGAGGCAGTTGTATTTCACTGGTGGGGGGACAGAGCAAAGCCCGCCCCTTTCTGAGATGGAGTGCGGAGAAGGGAGTGAGTGGCCAGGGAAAGTGAGTCCAAGCTCCCAGCTGCAGCGCAAAGAAATGACATTCCAGGACCCCTGCCAGGAAGCTGGGAGGTGAGAATGTGTCCTAGTTCAGAAGGTACATGGGGCTGCTTGGGCTCAAGTGATTCCTGACCCTTGGGAGGACCAGAACAGGCTTCTGGTCCTGATTGGGACCATCATACTGGAACCCTGGGCTGTCTAAATGACTCCATCAGATGTGGAGTCCATTCAATGTCTCGGCCCTCTGTCTCCTTCCACCCCCAAAGTCATAACCCTGCAGCCTAAGAGGGTTTTGCTCCAAGCTCCTGTCGTTGGTAATTACCGTTGCAAGTCTTGGGCAAGTCCTAGCCATGGGATGAGCAGTTACAGTGTGTGGCACTACAGCTCAGTTGGGCAACAAGGAATGAGACAGAGGTCTGTGATGGGGACCAGCCCTGTCAGAGCCAGTTCACTCCATTCTGGCTCCACCCGCTTGCCAGTTACCTGAAGTTTTGGGTGGAATGAGAGAGCCTGAATAGCTTGATACCAATCCCCGCACCCCTGGGAGACCAGCTAGTCCTTCTGGCAGTGTGTTTGGAATGTTCCTTCTGAACAGTGGCAGCTAGAGAGATCACTGGAAACAGAAATGGGCCCCAGATGGAGAACAGTGGATAAAGTGCTTGCTTTGCATGTAGCTGACCCTGGTTTGAATCCCCACAACACTGCATATGTTGCCCCAAACACCACCAGAGTCCACCCCTGAGTACAGAGCCAGGGTTAGTCTCTGAGCATTGCTGAGACTAATCCTGGGGTCACAAACCCTACTCAGACCCCCAAATAAAAGAAACTGAGAAACAACCATGAATATAACATTGCTGCTCTGTGGGGGGGGTAAGGGGGGGGGCGGGAGGTGGGTAGTGTGAGGGACTGCTTCTTTCAAAAAGGGTATGGGAATCCCTTGCTCTTGAACAGTTATCCTACGCCTAGGATACCCACAGTCAGGGTTTCATGTGTGGTGTTGCTTTAAAAAGTATCTTTAAAACAAAACAACAACAACAAAAAAAGACAAACCAAACCAAAAAAACAAAACCAAAAAATCAAACCAAACCAAACCAAAGCATTGGCAGGTATGTCATGCGTCAGGATGAATTTCTAAATGGAAATGATATTCTCCGAGTAATTTATTTAAGCTTGTTTGCACCACAGCAAATGAGGCCTCATGTAGCTTCGTGACTTCCCATGGCTGACCTGCCCATGCACAGTGAGGGATTTCCCAGGGTTCCACATGCTGTGCTGGGGAGTTTTCCAGTCACACCCATAAAGGTGCAGGAAAGCTGTATTCCCTCAGTACTCTCCTTGGCTTTGCCCATACTAGAGTCTCTGGACCATCCAGGTCTATGTGGGGTCTGACCCATGGGGTGGAGGCTGAGCCTCTTCCTGTGTCTAGGGGGTGTGAGCACTGACCAGTGGGTAGTCTAAGGGGAGGAATACAGCATTGTCCATATGTACTGGCCCTGGCTGCAATGCCCCCTTGGTGAGCCACGCAGTAGATGTCATGAACAGGGCCCCTGGCCATGGGCATTCCTGGTGAGGGAAAGATAATGACAAGGAGAAGGAGCAACTAGACCAACTCTGCTCACTGATT